ATATATGTATGTATATGTAATATAATATATATATATATATATATATATATATATATATATATATATATATAATGTGTATATATATATATATAATATATATACATATATACATATATACATATATACATATACATATATATGTATGTATATATATATATATATATATATATATTATATATATTATATATATATATATATATATATATATACTATATATTATATATACATATTATATATATATATATATATATATATATATATATAATATATATATATATACATATTATATTATATATGTATATATATATATATAATATAATATTATATATATATATATATATATATATATATATATATATATATATATATTACATATATACATATATATATATATTTCATATATATGTATATTATATATATATATGTATATATATATATCTATATCTATCTATCTATCTATCTATCTATATATATATATATATATATATATATATAATATGTATATATATACATATATATATATATATATTGTGTGTATATAAATATATATATTTTATATACATATATCATATCATATAAATATTATATATACATATATATTGTAGAGGCCAAGGGCGAGGTAATTGAGAGAGCCCTAGGCCCTGAGCAGACAGGAGAATTAAACACGTTGCAGAGAAGACGATGAAGTGTGTGTATTTTCGGCGGAAAATGCGGTATAAATACAAAATGGGCAAAGTAACACTGCTGGGTCGTCTTCCATTGAGTGTGCTGATTGGCCGACGGCTGCATCCTTATCTTCCGCGCCGCGGCGAATTAGCGCCACGGACCTCGCCACGCTTGCCTGCCGGCTGACTCGCTGTAGGGGCTATTATGCCGAGTGAGGTGCGCCGGTGCTGAGTGAGGCAATTAAGCGCAGCGAGACAGCACCGGTGCTGAGATGATTGTGGCATCCGCGACAATATATATATATCATATGTATATATCATATATGTATATACATTATGGAATTATTGGAAATGCAACCCCACACCTATTATTAAGAATCTGATCTTACCATGTGGTAGAACACATCATTCCATGAGTTTTCTTCTATGCCATTTTCCACGCAAATTGATAATAACGGAGTTATTTAGGAGATAAAATTCACGATTTCAAGTGCCGCAGTAACCTTACTCGACCTGCGACGCGACAAAATGACCAAAAGTCGTTAAGCGTGACGAAAAGTCGGGACGGATTTGTAGCGGAAGACGTATGCGCTGGAAATCAAATGAGCCAATTAGATTCGTTCGTGAACGTGACATGACCATAGACATTCAATAGAACCAATCAGGAAATGCAACCCCACACCTATTATTAAGAATCTGATCTTACCATGTGGTAGAACACATCATTCCATGATAGTTTTCTTCTATGCCATTTTCCTCGCAAATTGATAATAACGGAGTTATTTAGGAGATAAAATTCACGATTTCCAGGAGCCGCAGTAATCTTACTCGACCTGCGACGCTACAAAATGACAAAAAGTCGTAAGCGTGACGAAAAGTCGACGGATTTGTAGCGGAAGACGTATGCGCGGGAAATCAAATGAGCCAATTAACGTGAACGTGACGTGACCATAGACATTCAATAGAACCAATCAGATATGGAATAGATCATCACGTGACAATAGAAGTTAGGCCTAGGAGAAAGCAGTTGAAATTCAAATCAGTTTAATCATGGATACACAGTGCGCAGCTTGTGAGAACAATTATTTCGACTTTCTTGCAAAATATCATCGCAACAACGAAGCTAGTTTGCAATATTTGCGAGACCACGGTGTTCTTCCAGTGGATGTACAGTGCCCGCACTGCAAGACACCGTGTCATTATAGAAAAGACAGACACCAGTGGGTTTGTGGTGCTTGGACAAAGATCGCAAAGACAAAAAGGAGAAAACAGTGCAATTTCACGGTAAGCGACTACAAAGGGACATTTCTCTCGGGAACTAGACTTGAACCCTATCAAATACTCTCCTTCATTAATCACTGGCTAAGCAAACACTGGGATCATCAGACCGTTATTGGGTGCCTCCATATTGCCGAGCGCACGAGTGTGGACTGGCGAAGCTTCTGCTCCGAGGTTACAGAGCAGTGGCTTGACAACCAGGAACCCATAGGTGGACCAGGAATTGTGGTAGAAGTTGACGAGACACTCTTTGGCAAGCGAAAATATGAGATCGGGAGGCTACTGAGCCAGATATGGGTGTTCGGCGGAATCGAGCGCGTCAGCAAGAAGTTATTCCTTGTCCCCCTTGTTGAACTCCTGAGCAGGAAACGTGACGCAGAAACCCTCATAACTCTTATAAACAAGTATATTCTCCCCGGGTCAGTCATCGTAAGTGACGGATGGAGTGCATATCGGACAATTAGCAAACACGGATATGAACACCAAGTGATAAACCACACGGAACACTTTGTCGATCCCGATAACCCGGAGATCCACACTCAGAACATTGAGCGGTTGTGGCGTGACGTTAAAGAGTGGAGCAAGAGACCAGGTAATAGACAAGAATTCTATAAACAATACTTGGCTCGGTATCTGCTTCTGCACCAATACAAGCCGGAAATAGTCCACCACCACTTCTTCGTCGAAGCCGGGAGGCTGTACACTCCGCTGTCCGAGAAGGAACGGCGGATAGCGATCGCAATTCCCGCCAATAATGACGTGGATGACCCTGGCGATCCCTCGGTCTTGCCTCTCTCCTGCCGGAACATACGAGGTGAAGATTTTGTAGATTAGGCGGGGGTGGGGGGGGCGGCATTTCCCCCCCCCCTTGAAAAGGTGTTTAAGGGGACGGAGCCCCCTTTACAATCAGGAAATGTGTCGTTATACTATTATTACTAGTGTTTTACCGATATTTCTCGAAATAACCTCCCGATACGTAACTTGCCCTCCTCTACTATCGGGACCGATATCGTAGCTATGCTTCGTTTGCGAAGGAAATGAGTGCTAGATTCGTTTGACACACGACGAAAGCTATCGGAAAATTATTTTATTCGTGCAAAATAGCCTGTGGGGTTGCATTTCCAAATTTACCCAGCAAAGATATCTTTCCAACATTTACTTTACACTCATTTCATATTTGATAGTGTTGTCAAAAAATGAGATATCAAATATAATAAATTAGTTGCTGTAGGTTTAAACTATTATCAATATTTAACTTGTATAAGAAACATCTATAACACAATAAGGCCACTAATCAATTAAGCTGATCAAATCACAAATCAGGTATATATATAATCCATTAAAGTATAAAATAAATAGATAACACAACCTAGTTCTGGTAACATGACTAGAATAGGCACTTGTATTCTATCAACAAAATTAACAGACAAGTCCTTTCCTACCTCTAAATAATAAGAATATATCACCTTATATCACATAATATAGGCAGAATTACTGGACTAAATGATTAAAGACATATTCTGAACTATAAAATTCTAAACACTGGCATATCAAGAGCACATGGTTTGAAAAGTTAGTTTGAGCTTGACTTTCTTTTAAGGAAATCTAACAAAATAAACGATTTAACCTGAACTATTCTCTATAAAAAGTATATGTATTAATCTTTAATTACTCACATTCTTGGCGTTTCCTTAGATTTCATAAACACACACTGGTCAAACAAAATATGATGCGAGCTGACTGCATCCTTCCTCGCAAAACAAAGATGTCGTCTTACGACTTGTATGATACACGATAACTTCCACAAACATACGGGACCATACAAAACGTACAATTTATTCAAATCAGAATTCCATTTCAATACTTGTTACAGGTCATGTGTTACAATATTCATTATCACTGATGAATTGGACGAGGCTCCATTCTACAGGAGCAACGTCGTCTTACTCAGTGAGAACCTGACGTGTGTCTGGATCCCTAAGCTACATCTGTGAATGACTGCATCTTGTGCATGAAATTTTTGAACTGACGTAGCTTCTGTTAAAGTTTAGCGAGTTGCTCAAGGTCATACAAAACGGCTTCTAGTTCAGCACGAAGTGCTTCGAATTCCTCCGCAGGGGGAGACCTGGGTCTCCTGCTGGCTCTCCTCGGGCGTGACGGGGGCGACCTCCTGGGTCTCCGTCGCGATGAGGTCCTCTTGAGCCTCCGTCGCGGGAAGGTCCTCCTGGGCCTCCGTCTCGGACAGCAGCACCTCTGGACTGTATCAGGCTCCTCAGAACCTACTGTTCTCACTGCAGTAAAGTTACAGTGGGTATGGTCACCTTCTGTGGCGCACCAGAGGCTGACTTTTGTAACCTCCGCTACATATGGGTGTACTTTGTAGCACTATCATGGTAGCCCTCTTCGGGCGTCACGAGGGCGACCTCCTGGGTCTCCTCTTCGTCCTCCTCGGGAATGACGAGGGCGACCTCCTGGGTCTCCTCCTCGTCCTCCTCCTGGGTACGAGGGCGCGACCTCCTGTTCTCCTCCTCGTCTCCTCAGGGTGACGGGGCACCTCCTGTGTCTTTTCTCTCGTCCTCTTCTGGGTTAATGGGGCGTCTCCTGGTTCTCCTTTTCGTCCTCCTCGGAATGACGGGGGGCGACCTCTGGTTTCTCCTCCTCGTCCTCCTCAGGGGTGACGGGGGCTCAACCTTCCTGTGTTCTCCTGTCCGTCTCCCTGGCGTAATGACGGGCCGTCCTTATCCTTATTCGTCCTCCTGCTGACGGGGCTCCTCCTGTTTCCTCCACTCAGGGGTGACGGGGGCAACCTCCTGTGTCTTTCCTCCGTCCTCCTCCTGGGTAAATGGGGGCGTCTCGCTGGTTCTCTTTTTCGTCCTCGTCAGGGAATGAGGGGGGACTCCCTCTGGTTCTCCTCCTCTCCTCCTCAGGGGTGACGGGGCAACCTCCTGTGTCTTTCCTCTCGTCTCCTCTCCTGTGGAATGGGGCGTCTCTCTTTCTGGGTCTCCTTTCGTCCTCTCAGGGGTGACGGGGGCGACCCCTGGTTCTCCCTCCTCGTCCTCACTCAGGGGTTGACGGGGGCAACCTCACTGTGTCTCCTCGTCCTCCTCTGGTAATGGGGGGTCCTCCTGGTTCTCCTTTTTCGTCCTCCTCTGGAAGGGGGGACTCTGGTTCTCCTCCTCGTCTCCTCAGGGGTGACGGGGGCGACCTTGGGTATCTTGTCTCCTCCGTCGTCCTCTCCCAGGACAGGGGTGACGGAGGGAGACTCTGTGTCGTCCCCCTCGTCGTCTCCTCCTGGGTTAATGGGGTGGCGTCCTCCTGGTTCTCCTTTTCGTCCTCTGAATGACGGGGGCGACCGTCTGGTTCCTCCGTCTCCTCAGGGGTGACGAGGGCGACTCCTGGTTCTCCTCTCGTCCTCCTCTCAGGGGTGACGGGGGGAACCTCTGTGTCTACCTCCTCGTCCTCCTCCTGGGTAAGGGGGGTCTCCTGGTTTCTTTTCGTCTCCTCGGGAATGACGGGGGCGACCTCCTGTTCTCCTCCTCGTCCTCCTCTGGGTAACGAGGGCGACTTCCCTGGTTCTCCTCTAGGTCCTCTCAGGGGTGACGGGGGCAACCTCCTGTGTCTCCTCCTCGTCCTCCTCCTGGGTAATGGGGGCGTCCTCCTGGTTCTCCTTTTCGTCCTCCTCGGGAATGACGGGGGCGACCTCCTGGTTCTCCTCCTCGTCCTCCTCAGGGGTGACGGGGGCAACCTCCTGTGTCTCCTCTTCGTCTCGCCTCCTGGGTAATGGGGGCGTCCTCCTTGGTTCTTCCTTTTCGTCCTCCCGGGAATGGACGGGGGCGACCTCCTGGGTTATCTCTCCTCCTCCTTCTCTCAGCGTGACGGGGGCGACCCCCTGGCTGTTCTTCCTCTTCGTCACTCCTCAGGGTGAAAGGGGGCGTACCCCCTGGGTCTCCTCTTTGCGTTCCTCCTCCTGGCGGTAACGGGGCGTCCTCCTGGTTCTCCTTTTCGTCCACCTCGGGAATGACGGGGGCGACCTCCTGGTTCTCCTTTATGTCCTCCTCAGGGGTGACGGGGGCGACCCCCTGGGTCTCCTCTTCGTCCTCCTCCTGGGTAACGGGGGCGTCCTCCTGGTTCTCCTTTTCGTCCACCTCGGGAATGACGGGGGCGACCTCCTGGTTCTCCTCCTCGTCCTCCTCAGGGGTGACGGGGGCGACCCCCTGGGTCTCCTCTTCGTCCTCCTTCCTGGGTGGTAACGGGGGCGACGTCCTGGTTCTCCTTTTCTCCCACCTCGGGAATGACGGGGGCGACCTCCTGGTTCTCCTTTTCGTCCTCCTCAGGGGTGACGGGGGCGACCCCCTGGGTCTCCTCTTCGTCCTCCTCAGGGGTGACGGGGGCGACCTCCTGGTTCTCCTCCTCGTCCTCCTCAGGGGTGAAGGGGCGACCTCCTGGTTCTCCTCTTCGTCCTCCTCGGGGGCGACCTCCTGGGTCTCCTCGTTATTCTTGGGGTGACCTCCTGTGTCGCCTCTCGGTCCTCCTCGGGTGGTGACGGGGCGACCTCCTGGTTCTCCTCCCCGTTCCGTCCTCAGGGGTGACGGGGGCGACTCCTGGTTCTCCTTTGTTCGTCCTCCTCAGGGGTGGCGGGGTCGACCCCCTGGGTCTTCCTGCTTCGTCCTCCTCAGGGGTGACGGGGGCGACCTCCTGGTTCGTCCTCTCGTCGCTCCTTCAGGGGTGACGGGGGCGACCCCCCTGGGTCTCCTCTTCGTCCTTCCGTTCGCTGGGTAACGGGGGGCGACCTCCTGGTTCTCCTTTTTCGTTCCACCTCGGGAATGACGGGGCGACCTCCTGGTTCTACTCCCCTTTTTCTTTCACAGCTTACTCAGGGGTGGTACGGGGGCGACCCCCTGTGTCTTCCTCTTTCGTCCTCGCTCAGGGGTGACGGGGGCGACCTCCTTGGTTCTTCCTCCTCGTCCTCCTCAGGGAGGTGAAGGGGCGACCTCCTGGTTCTTCCTTTCGGTCCTCCTCGGGCGCGACTCCTGGCTCTCCTCCGTTATTCTCGGGGGTGACCTCCTGGTTCTTTCCTCTCGTCCTCCTCGGGGGGTGACGGGTGCGACCTCCTGTTCTTCCCCCTCGTCTCCTCCTCAGGGGTGACGGGGGCGACCTCCTTGGTTCTCCGTTCGTCCTGCCTCAGGGGGTGACGGGGGCGAACCCCCTGTGGTCTGCCTCTTCGTTCCTCCTCAGGAGAGAGTGACGGGGGGCGACCTCCTGTTGCTCCTCTTCCCTCCTCCTTCAGGGTGACATGAGTTTTAAGGCGACCTCGTGGTTTCTCCTCCTCGTCCTCCTCAGGGGTGAAAGGGCGACCTCCGTGGTTCCTCTCGTCCTCCTCAGGGGTACCTCCTCAGGGGTGAAGGGGCGACCTCCTGGTTCTCCTCTTCGTCCTCCTCGGGGGCGACCTCCTGGGTCTCCTCGTTATTCTCGGGGGTGACCTCCTGTGTCTCCTCCTCGTCCTCCTCGGGGGTGACGGGGGCGACCTCCTGGTTCTCCTCCTTGTCCTCCTCAGGGGTGACGGGGGCGACCTCCTGGTTCTCCTCTTCGTCCTCCTCAGGGGTGACGGGGGCGACCCCCTGGGTCTCCTCTTCGTCCCCCTCAGGGGTGACGGGGCGACCTCCTGGTTCTCCTCCTCGTCCTCCTCAGGGCCTCCTGGGTCTCCTTCTTCCTCCTGGGCAACCTCCTGGGTCTCCTCGTTATTCTCGGGGGTGACTTCCTGTGTCTCCTCCTCGTCCTCCTCAGGGGTGACGGGGGCGACCTCCTGGTTCTCCTCCTCGTCCTCCTCAGGGGTGACGGGGGCGACCTCCTGGTTCTCCTCCTCGTCCTCCTCAGGGGAAGGGACCTCCTGGGTCTCCTCGTTATTCTCGGGGGTGACCTCCTGGTTCTCCTCCTCGTCCTCCTCAGGGGTGACGGGGGCGACCTCCTGTGTCTCCTCCTCGTCCTCCTCCTGGGTAATGGGGGCGTCCTCCTGGTTCTCCTTTTCGTCCTCCTCGGGAATGACGGGGGCGACCTCCTGGTTCTCCTCCTCGTCCTCCTCAGGGGTGACGGGGGCGACCCCCTGGGTCTCCTCTTCGTCCTCCTCAGGGGTGACGGGGGCGACCCTGGTTCTCTTCCTCTCCTCCTCAGGGTGAAGGGGCGACCTCCTGGGTCTCCTCTTCTCCCCTCGGGGGCAACCTCCTGGGTCTCCTCGTTATTCTCGGGTGTGACCTCCTGTGTCTCCTTCCTCGTCCCCTCGGGGGTGACGGGGGCGACCGTCCTGGTTCTCCTCCTTGTCCTCCTCAGGGTGTACGGGGGACCTCCTGGTTCTCCTCTTCGTCCCTTCCTCAGGTGGTGGACGGGGGCGACCCCTGTGGATCTCCTGACTCCTGTCCTCGCTCGTCCTCCTCGGGGTGAAGGGGGCGACCTCCTGGGTCTCCTTTCGTTCCTCCTCGGGGGCAACCTTTCCTGGTCTCCTCGTTATTCTCGGGTGTGACTTCCTTGTGGTCTCCTCCCCTCCTCCTCAGGTGATCGGGGCGACCTCCTGGTTCCTTCCTCGTCTCCATCAGGGTGACGGGGCGACCTCTCTTTGGTTCTCCTCCTCGTCTCCTTCAGGGTGAAGGGGCGACCATTCCTGGGTTCCCTCTTCGTCCTCCTGGGGGCACCTTCTCCTGGGTCTCCTCTTATTCTCGGGTGACCTCCTGGTTTCTCCTGCCTCGTCTCCCTCAGGGCGGGGCGACCTCCTGTTGTCTCCTCCTCGTCCTCCTCTGGTAATGGGGGCGTCCTCCTTGGTTCTCGCTTTTCGTCCTCTCGGGAAAATGACGTGGGGGCGACCTCCTGGTTCTCCTCCTTCGTCCTCCTCAGGTGACGGGGGCCGTACCCCCTGGGTCTCTCTTCGTCCTCCTCAGGGGTGACGGGGGCGACCTCCGGTGTCTCCTCCTCGTCCTCCTCAGGGGTGACGGGCCGACCTTCTGTGTCTTCCTCCTCGTCCTCCTCCTGGGATACGGGGGCGTCCTCCTGTTTCCTTTTAGTCCTTCCGGGATGACGGCGGGGCGACTCTGGTTCTCCTCAGGGGTGGACGGGGGCAACCCTCTGTGTTCCCCTCGTCTCCCTCCTGGTAATGGGGGCGTCCTCTCTGGTTCTCTTTTCGTCTCCTCGGGAACTGACAGGGGGGACTCTGGTTTCCTGTCTCCTCAGGGATGACGGGGCGCGACCCTGGTCTCCTTTTCGTTCTCTCCTCAGGGGATGAGGGGGCATCACCTCCTGGGCTTCTTCGTCTCTCTTCAGGGGTGACGGGGGCGACTCCTGTTAGTCTTCCTCCTCGTCTCCTCTGGGTACCGGGGCGTCCTCCTGCGCCTCTCTTCTCTATTTTCGTCCACGCTCGGGATGACGGGGGCGACCTCCTGGTTCTTTTCTGTCCTCCTAGGGTGAAGGGGGCGACCCTGGGTCTCTCTCTTTCGGCCTCGGGTAAACTGGGGGTGTGTCTGGGTTTCTTCTTTTCGTACCTTGGCGATATACGAGGGGGCGAACGCTAACTGGTTCTCCTTTTTCGCTCCTCCTCAGGGGTGCGGGGGGCGACCAACCCTGGGTTCTTTTCGTCTCTCAAGGGGTGAGGGGGGTACCTCTGGTTTCCTCCTACGTCTCTCCTAAGGTGGACGGGGCGACCTCCTGGTCTTCTCCTGTCTCCTCAGGGTGAAGGGGCGACTCCTGGGGTCTCTTTCGTCTCTCTCGGCGGGGACCTCCTTGGTCTCCTTATTTCTCGGGGGTTGACTCAGCTGGTTTCCTCCCGCCCTACTTAGAGAGTACGGGGCGACTTTCCTGGTTTCCTCGTGTGCTCGGGTATCGGACGGGAGAGACCTCTCTGGGTCTCCTCCCTTCCTCTTTCGGGGTGACGGGGATGATCTCCCCTTATTTCTCTTTTCTTCTCTGATTATCTTATTTCTTCTCTCTCTCCTCCCTAAACCATTCCCTCTCTCTTCTCTCTTTCTATCTTTTTCTCTCTCTGTTTTCTTTCTCACTTTTCTCTCTCTCTCTAATCTCTTATCTCTCCTGTCTCTCTCTCTCTTCTTTTATCTTCATTCAGATTATTCTTTACTTTCTTCTTTCCATCCTTCCTGTCTTCCCTGTCTCTCTTTATTTGTTGTTTTGGTGTTATCTTCCTTTTTTCCTTTTTCCTCCTCTTTCTTTTTCTCCTTTCTTATTCCCCCTTCCTTGTTTCTATCCTCCGCTGTCTCTCTTTCTCTTCCTTCTTTCCATCTTCTCTTCTCCCTCTATTCTTGCCTTCTACTCTTTCTTTATATACATATACATATACATCATACATATATATATATATCATATATATATATATATATATAATATATATATATACTATTATATATACTTATATATACGTATATATATATATATATATATATTATACTATATATATATAATATATATATAATATATATATATATATATATATATAAATATATATTATACCATATATATTAATATTATATTATATTATATATTATATATACAACACACACTACAACACATACACACCACACCACACCACACACACACACACACACACACACACACACACAACACACACACACACAACACAACCCACACATAATATATTATATATACTTTCAAATATATATATATATATAAACTCCTATATATATATATACATAATAATAAATACATACATCCAACACCAGCACACACACCACACACCACACACACCACCA